CCGGGCCGGGCTGGGCAGTAAGGCCGGGGCGGGCGGGCCCAGACCGCGCGCCGGGGCCGGGGCCGGGGCAGAGGGTCGGTGGGCCGGGCCTCTCACAGAAGGTGCTGCCGGACATGAGCGTGCTTGCATGGAGGTGGGGACGAAGGTCTGGGGATTTTAAACGGCCCTGGGACCCAGGCAGGCCTTCACCTTCAGTTGGCTTCGATAGTTGCCAACTTCAGGGACACCATTGTGGCTGCCGGTAGCAGAACCTGGACATTCCTTTGAGGCGGGTCCTGGCCCCAAACTTGGTGTGTGTGCGGCCATCTGGATGCCAACTTACATGCAGTCAGAATGTGAGGTTTGGGGCTCCTGTCCTCAGTTCTTTGGAAGGAAGGGCCAGGTGGGGGCATATGGTGGAAGTAGGGCTTCCAGGAGTGAAGTGTATCGGGTTGAATTCAGTTCACCACTTGTTTCTGAAGCGTCTACCTTGGATAAGGCAACATGCTACAGTGGGTGAGGACCGAAGAGCATAGTGGTCTCATAATAACATGAGTAAGACATTAGGCGTGTCCCAACTATGCGTTTGATTTACTGTGTTCTTGGAATAAAGATACACTTGTAGCCAAACAAAAGTAAACTTTCATCTACTTCAAGATGAAATATCTTGACATGTTCTCACCCACAGTAGGCAGAAAGTTATCTTGCCATGTTTTTAACCCACCAGCTCCCACAACACGAAATCCACTTAGCTTTCTTCAGTGAATTTTAAGGATATTTTATGCTATGGAGAGTCAACCTTATTTAAAGACATGCATGATTTTGTTTACCAAGTTTCATAGATAAAACCCTAAAAAGTCGTTTGTGGTACTTTGACTTTCCCTTGTGCTTTCCAGTTTCTCCTCGGTCCTGCGACACTTAGCGTGGACATACCGAGTGAGTTCCAGAACCTGCCCCTGTTCTAAACAACGTGGGGCCTCGCCCTGATCCATTCTTCTTGCCTTTGAGAAAGCTGTCTGACTGACAGTGGACTTGGTGGGGATTCTTCTTACCTGGCTCGTGGCAAGTGCTTTCCACTTTGAATATGGGTAAGGATCACCAGTTTATTCACCTGAACCTTTACTTCCTTTGAAACATTGATTTTTTTTCCCCTTGCCCTCCCTGGGAAGACAGGCCGGCAGTAAGCTCTGCCTCCACCCAGGGGCACACCCTCATATCACCTGGCCACAGTCCCTTGGCACGCAGCTGGGAGGGAGTGGCGGCGGAGGGATCTGATGCCACAGATGGCACTGGGGTGGAGAGGCCCTGGTGAGCTGACCGCATTCCGAGCAGCCGCACTCCCTTGTGTTCTCCAGTCTTGCTTTAGACCTGGAAAGGTGTTCTTCTCCATCGCCTTGTTTTTAGGGAACAGAAAGCAAGTATCTTCTTAAAACCGTCTTTTTATGTTATCTCACCTCACAAGTGGCCAGTTTTCAGGAAACTTTTGTGCTGTTGATAGTATCTTTTATTTTGCTTGTAGAAGTAATTGTATGATCTTATTTCAAAGTCATACTTTGAAAAGGGGGGAAATGTTATGTCCATTTCCAAATTTGTGACCATTACTGTTATTATGGAGTCTCTGGGTGTAATCAATTGGTTAGGCACTTGGCTGCTAACCGAAAGGTTAGTGGTTCAAATCCACTCGGAGGTGCCTTGGAAGAAAGGCCTGGAGATATACTTGCAAAAGATTACAGCCACTGAAAACCCTTTGGAGCACAGTTCTACTCTGATACACATAGGGTAGTCATGAATTGGGATCAACTTGATGGCAGCAAGTACTGTTAGTCTCTCCTAAAAATATCATATGAAATAGGATGAAACACATGCACATATATATAAGGTCAAATACCCTACGGTATTGATAATCTAGTGTAGCTAATGGATGTGTATATATCCCATTTAAATACTTACAGAAGGATAAGTAGGTAAATGACCTAAGCTAAGAAGATCACCATGTGCTAGTTTCTGTTGGTCGCATCTCTTACAGGAAGGGAAGACTATCTTTTTCAATTCCCTGTCTGCATCCCTCTCTTCCAGTTTTGGAAACGGCACTTACATCTATGGTGCCTCTGAGTACTTTTGTAAAACTTTTCCTTTTACAAGAGAGAAGTTTCCAATACCAGTATGTGTCATAAAAAGGAGAACCCTTCTTGGGTGAATAGATTGATCGAGATGATCGTCAAGGTAGAAGAAGAGAAACAGCAGTGGGACGTGTTTTACAGTGTGCTGAGAGTGAAACTTGTGAATGGTTTCATGGATAATTTGTTATGCTGCTCAGCATGATAGTTTAGCTAATAAATGTTGAAGACTTTAGGACCAGGGGCACGTTTTACTTTCAGCTGACTTCAGGGTCTTCATTGATGATCCACACAAATGTTGAATCTTAGTTGGGACGGTTATTTTAAAGTGGCTATTGAAACTCTGGTGGCGCAGTGGTTAAGAGCTACAGCTGCTAACCAAAAGGTCAGCATTCGAATCCACTAGGCGCTCCTTGGAAACCCTATGGGGCAGTTCTACTCTATCCTGTAGGGTCGCTATGAGTCAACATCGACTTGATGGCAACGGGTTTGGTTTTTGGTTTTGGTTGGAAAACAGATTAAAAGAGAGTATCTGTATCTTGGTCTTGTTGATGTTTCAGGAATAGAAATATTCAGATAAAAGCATCTAAAGGTTCATTTCCTACACTGCACATAAAAGACGTTTTGGAGGTATTAGACATGTGATGAAGAACATACTTTTACTAGTCAAGTGACCTTGAACAAGTTTTATATTCTCTCTGTGTCTTATTCCTCACATGGGTCTAACTTGGGAATAAGAGTCCATCTCCCAGAGTTATTGTGAGTATATTTTGTTTAGAGTAAAATCTGAATGCTTTACCATGGCCTACAAGGTTTCTGTCTAGCTCTGAAATATTATTTTTCTCTGCTTAGTTCTAAAGACCGTCTTGAACCACCCTTTGCCTTACCACAAAGTTAAGCTCTGTTGTTTCTGTTCCTCAAGATACCAGGCTGTTTCCTGTCTCCCCACCTTTGACATGGTAGCTCCCTTTTCCTAGAATGTTCTTCAGGGGCTTCTCTTATGGTTGGTTCATTCTTGGATCTTTATGCCGGCGTCACCACCTTGGAAATGCCTTCCCTGATTACCTTATAGCTCCTTCATGGGGCGGTGGTGGTACAGGGAGTCCCTCATAGGACCTTCCATGTGGGAGACCTGGGTTTGGTTGCCAGCCAGTGCACCTCAAGCATAGCCACCACCCGTCTTGTCAGTGAAGGCTTGCATGTTGCTATGATGCTGAACAAGTTTCAGTGGAGCTTCCAGATTAAGACTAGGAGGAAAGGCCTGGTGATCTGCTTCCAAAAATCAGCCAGTGAAAACCCTATGGATCACAAAAATGCTCCCAACCTCAATTGATCATGCGGATGGTGCAGGACCGGGCAGCGTTTCATTCCGTTGTGCGTGGTGTCATCATGAGGCAGGGGTGACTTGATGGCAACTAACAACAACATAGCTCCTTCAGCAATCCTACCTTGGTATCGTGTATATCTCCTTCATAACATTTATGACTGTCTGTAAGTATTTCGATAACTTGTTGCTGGTCTGGTCATCCATATAAGTTCCGTGAGAATAGGTCTTGAGGTCTGACTGTTTTGCTTCCCTAACACTTCACACGGGGCCTAGCCCCTCAGCAGGGACATGGTGCACAGAGAGTTCCTAAGTGGTTCTGTGCCTGGCATGTAGAAGCTCGGTAAATTAGCATCTTAATATTGTTAGGTGTGTGTTAAAGGCAAAGTCACACTGTGTTTGTTTTAGAAATCTGTTGGTTTTCCGTATTACTTATTTATCCCTGTCTGAGCTGGTCTGTTCAGTTGAATAAATCACAGTGCTAGTAAAGCCCAAGTCCTTATAACTGCGTGAGAGGACCGTCTTTCCCTGTGGCACCATCTCGTGTGTCCAAGGTGGCTCATGGACAGAACTGGCTGATGGCAGAGATGCCCAGGCTGTCGTCACTTCTGCTGGTGTAGCTCTTTGCAGTGTGTGAGGAGTAGCCACTCCCCTGAGCATTTCCTTGGACATCAACTTAGTAAGGTGAAGACACTCTCATCTGAAGCCTCCCGGGCATCCTCAGTTATCTGAGGTGGAATTAAACAGGAAGGGAAAACTCATTTGAAATTCAACAAGCCAGAGACCTAGAAGAGTCAGATTTCAACTGGCGAAGGCAGTCTTTCTCAGGGATTCAGATCTAGATTTGAACTTCACTATTTCAATTTTATAGGCTAGGTTTTTTAAAAAAATACTTATTTGCCTTATCTGTAAAATAATAATAGTGCCTTCCTTGGAGTTGGTGTGAAAATTAAATGAGGTAATGTATGTAAATTTATTAGCTCAGTGCCTGGAGTGTAACAAGTGCTAATAGTAGTAATTAGTTTAAAATGTACTATGAGTTGTTAAAAGGATATTCTGATTAATCAGCAACATCCATATAAGACTTGATTTTTCTTGTTAAGAAAGCAAATGTGGAAACAGCATGTGAGACTAAAGGGACAAGAAAAATGGAAATAAAAGAGGAGAGAGAATGGGTGTGCATGGAAGTATTGTGGCACAAGCTGTTAGAATTGTGAGGATTCCAGGTGGTGACGGGGGGGCAGTGGTGGGATTGCTTGGCAGTGGGGTCCTTGTGATCGGATGGTGGGAAATCTAGACCAAGAAAGCTTCCACCCTTTACCTCCTCTGCAAAGTCTGATGCTCTCGTTTTCATGCTGTTTGTTCTCATGTAGTCACATCACTCTTAGCTGTCACAATAAAATATTTTCTTAAAATTATTAAAAAGGGCATCACATTTGGACAATACATTTGGGGAGCAGGGACTGTCCTATTTTCCTTAGCAGCAGACTCTTCAGAGGTAGAGAAGAAGCAAGCTGGCATTAAAGAGAGAAGAGAGAATATCTTGGAAGGCCTCGGAGGCAAACCATGACCTGAACCGCAGTGAACCCTAAAGGGGTCACTGTGCCATCCTGAAATTTCCTAGCAGGTAAATTTGGTCATCTGAGGAGACATTTTTCTGTGTACAGCAGTTTAATGACAACATGAGATATTATATTTAATATACACACTTGTGTGTAAAGTATCTTTTCAGAAGGCAGAGGAATACATGACTTCTATTAGACAAGACAGCCATGAAAACAGTTTTAATAGTTTAATATTAATCTTTAGAATTGTCTAGATGTGGTGTATTCACGTGGTGTATTCAGTTATTTGGTGTTGCTAAAGTTGCTGTTTTGGTAATTTTCATGGTAGACGTTACTCTGACCACACCAGTAACAAGCTGAATGATTGAACTAACAGGATTATTATACTTTTAAAGTAGGATGAATCACATACTGGTAGGCCTGTTACTTTGTATGATTTTCCTTTTGTGAATTTAGGTGATTATAATAATAAAGTTGTTAATAAAACATAATTTTGAGTTTTAAATGAAATATCATCATCCCTTTGTCAATAGTCATGTATGTCTGTTGACATTTAAAAGTAAAAAAAAAGAAGGAACATTTTTAGAGAATAACATTATGACCAAATATCACAGACTTTGACAGGCTCTGTAATTATGTACCAATGCATAGAATTGCATTAAGATTTCAGTTGTTTTATGCATTTGCAGAATTACTGCATTTTAGAGCTGGAAGGAACCTTATTGATTATAGATTAGCTTCACTCTTAGACAGATGATGAGGACATTTGAACTAAGACTAAGAATCTGCCCAAAGTCACACACCACATTACTACCAGATTTAAGAATGGAGGCTAATGTATTACTAGACTTTTACCAGAAAAGTCTAGTGTATTAGACTTTTTTATTATTTCCTGAATCCTCTTGTATTATTTTTTCAGGGATTTTCTTTTGCCATTGATGAAAGATGTTTTAACTTAATCCTAGGAGTAAAGGAATTTGGATTTGTGTCTTCATGGAGCACGTGACAGTTGAGCCGGAGCTTGAAGGATGACCTGTATTTGATTAATTTGATTGGGAAGAGATTAAATTAGAAGGCAGGGA